TTTTCCTCTTTTTCTTCCTCTATATTCTGGAATCTCAGGAAGTATTCAGCTTTTTCTATTTGCAATTGGATTACAGTTCCTTCCAATTCTTTATTGGCCTGTGTTAGTCTCTGATTCATTTCCTCGTCTTTTTTCTCTGTTCTGACTTTTCTTCAATTGATTTAGTCTTTTCTTCATTTTTCTCTAGCATTTGTTAAAAAATTCCAGTTTTTCATCCATCCTTTGCATTTTTTTCCTTGATCTCTCCCATCTCAGTCTTCATTTCAATATGGTTCTTAGGTATAGCCTCTTGTAATGATTGTGACATTGCTTGCATAACTTCAATTGTATTCATTTTTTTCCTGCTGGATTAAACTTTCTATCGACCTTTGGTTTGAAGGGCTTGACATTTCGGTGATAGAGCGAATGCTGATCCTGATGCAAACTTCTATATCTTCTCTGTCTGTTTCCAAGTGTCCGGTATGGTGTAAATTCCACAAGACAGCACCCAATTAAATTTATTTAGTTCAGTTTCAAAATGCCCAAACAATTTGTATTTCATCAGAGAGTTCAGGAGTTCAAGGTCTTCTCCCTCAATGACAGGTTCCACCAGTAGATGGTGTCCTTACTCTATTTCTCCACTTTCAGCTGATTTCCATTCAAACTTTCACTTCTGCAAACTTCATGTTCCAGGACTACAATGTACACAATATATCAAAATGTTTCTCAAATATGGTCCATAAAGCAGGCAATATATAGACAAATAAATCACCTGGAACTCCACCCACTTAAAGATCTATTTTTCACAAAGCATTGCCATCTTCTTCATTTGGATCTGTCAACCTCTCGTAAAATTAGTCACCAGTGATTTAAAAAACACCACCTCTCTTTTAGAGTCTCATTTCCAATAAAAGGTTTCTGTAGCAAATTCCTCAAACAGAAGTTGGAAATTGAAAGTAGCTCACCCAGATCTCCCATGCTGTTACCTACTTGTTTTCTTTATTGCTCTTTCTACGAATGCTGTTTCATAGTTATAAGATAGAATGACACATTTTGAAAGTTTATGAAAGTTTCTCTTTGTCCCATTTTATATTAAACAAAATCAATCAGGACTATATTGGGGCGGGTCTCCTCACATTTCCATTTGTACAACCTTTATATAGAATATAGATTGGATAAAGTAACTCTAAATTGGTTTATTACATAGTCTTTATCTGAGAAGGAAGCAGTTTCCTCATTCTTAAATAATGTAAGTTGAGGACAAGACAAGAATGGATTTTTTTTTAGCAAAGCCTAGATCAATTTGACTTTATTGTGAAGTGTTCTGTATTCGGCTGAATAATGTATTTGAAACAAAAATAGTTCTGTTTATTAAAAGAGCTGCATATAGCAAGTTTGTGGTTTTCTTAATGAAACAGCTACAGTAACTTAATTTATGTGAATACAAATCAAATTGCTATTGTTACCTTTAAAACCCTGACTAATTTAGAACACAGAACTGTCTTTTTCCTTCTATTGAGATCCTTCTGAAAAACCTTCTTGCACATCCCACAATTAAGTCTTTGCCTAGCTGTGACTATAGCCTAGATGCTAAAACTGTCTTCCAAGGAAAATCTGTTTCAGTTTCAAAGAACAACTTATTAGATGCTAGCTAGCCTTTGTTTTTAGAACAGTCATTAGTTTATCATGGATATTTGAGCCAGAAACCATGTAATTGGAAGACAGTTTT